CCTGGCTCCGGCCCCGTCGCCCCACCCGAGTCCTGACGCTCCCTGCTGCGGCCGGTCTCCCGGGGCCTGGGGTATTTCCAGAGCGGGATGCCCCGACTCTGCTTCCCACGGTGCGAGGGCAAGTGTGTGCACGCGTGCGTGTGTACAGGAAGGCGAGCAAGGCTCTGTCCTTCCTCATTTGGGAGCTTCTGGGCCAAGCGTGCTGGTTCTCTGCCCATCTGGCCCCTGCAGCAGGGTGGGTAGGGAGCACTGCGGGCCGGAGGAGAACCCTTTACCCCATCCCTGACTTTGTCCCCGCGCCGAGGCGGCCATGGTGGATCCTTTATTTCAGACGTGGTGGCGCACGCCTGTAATTCCAGCACTTGAGAAGCCGAGGCAGGAGGATCGCTGTGAGTTCGAGGCCAGCCTGGGTTGCATAGTGAGTTCAAGACCAGCTTGAACTACTACACGGGGAGACCCTGTCTCATTTCGCAGATGAGGGAGCCAGCCCGGAGGGACAGGTGTGGTGTATCAGGCGAGATAAACAGGGATCCAACCCCGAGCAGGTCCACGGTTGTGCAGAGCCCAGCTTCACTGCGCAGAAGCGCTGGGTGTGGCGAGGCTCTGAGCTCCTGTGCAGGAGTACTAAAGGGTGTGAAGGGGCAGTGCTCTGGGAGCCCTGGATCGTCTGTCACCCGCAGTAAATGAATTATCTTCCCTGGTTTGTGTATTTATTTAAAAATTTTTTAATTAAAAAAACCTTTTTTTTCATTTCCGGGATCAAACTCAGGACCAAAGTCAGGCAGACACAGTGCTGTATTTCCGGCTCTTTAAATTTTATTTTTTTGAGATAGGGCCTGCGAAATGGGAATAAAGCCATCTGTGAGGCTTCTGGGAAGATCTGATAGCGAGGCTATTAAGGAACGTATTCTCCCAGACCGTCTATAAAATGAGCTCTGCAGAATTAGACAAGGGGCCGTGACCTCAGACACACAGTTTTGCAGCTGCAGCGCAGTTACCGATGATCGCTGAATGACCCGCGGCAAGGCCCTGTTTGCCTCCCATCCATCCCAGTTTCCTTTTCTGCAGAGCTCCCGAGTGTTGGGCAAGATCTTCACCAAATGCCTGACATTCTGCACACCTGAGACACGCCTCAGGCTCGAGCCCGGCTCACGAGACCCCTGCATCATCAGCAGGAGGGGGAACCGTGGGGGGCCGTGACTTCTGCCTCACTGGCCTCATCCCTGCGTCCCCTCTGGTCCCTGGGGTCCCGATGCCCCCACACCCCCACACTCCAGCCACCAGCTGAGTCCACGGCTCCGAGCAGGCCGCAGCCCTGCATTCGATGCCAGACCCCAGAGAAGTCCTTTTTCTGCCTTTCCTCTCTGCTTCTTTCCTGCTTCTGTTTCTCCCTCTCCAGAACAAGGGAGGGGACTGTGGGTGGACCTCAGGGCAGAGCACCGGCCGTGCATGCAGGAAGCCCTGGGTTTGATCCCCAGCACCGCCAACGTAAGTAAGGTCAGTCTTAATGCTGGCCCAACCCCTTCTCAGGGCCAGGCACGTCCAGCTATTAGGACATCTCGCTTTCTTGTCTTAGGGCAAATTGGAGAAAAATGCCCCATCTCCCACTCAGAAAAATAATGCCCACGAGCTACGCACAGGGAGCTCCAGGAACCTGACAGGCTCTGCGTCACTTCTCCTCGGGTCTTCACCCTGGGGAAAGAGTGTTGGCGTCCCCATGATTCAGACGAGGAACCTGAATCTGCTTCAGTTACCTGGCTGGGCTTGAACTCGGGTCTTTAGACGCGGGGCTCTGGGCGAAGGACCCCCTAGGGCCCAAATCCTGCTTTCCAGGTGAACCAAGCCCTGGAGCCAAGCTGGAGACCCTGCCGTTCCAGGGTGTGACCAGTAGAGGGCGAACCGACTCCAGGGTCTGCGGCCGGGCCTTGCCTTTGGGGCCGGGGTCCGCTTGGTGTCACCAAGGAGGGCTGACTTTCCGGCCATTATCTTTCTATCTCACCTTCTCTCTCCTGGCTGGAACCTGACTGCGTAGAGATTTGCAATAGTAATGAAAGAAGGTAGAAGGAGGAGAGGGAGAAAGGGAGACAGAATGGAGTAAAACTCAGCAGGCCAGGAATGACCTGGCCCTGCCCTCCTTTCCTCCAGTGGTTTTGCTTTTTGTTTCGAGACAGGGTCTCACTGTGTAGCCCAGGCTGGCCTTGGACTCACACAACCTTCCTGCCTCAGCCTCCCAAGTGCTGTGCGTACAGGCCGAGCCACCTCTCCCAGCTGCTGTGTGTTTTTATCTTGGGGCTGCTGCAGCCGAGCAGTGGTTGCTGGCCCAGTGGATCTCTCGGGTCCTGGGCTCCGGCAGGCTCTGCGTGCAGAGGAAGTTCTCTGCCAGTTGGGTGGGATGTGCCTCAGGGGAAGGGAATGTGCTTACCACAGATAAGACCTAGGTTTGAGCCCTAGCACCAGCAAACAAACAAACAAACAAACACACTGGAGGGCAACAGCAGGAAACCTGGAAGTCACTTGCACTTCTGTGCACTGAAGTCTGCCAGACGCTGAGGGCACAATTCTAGCTGGGCCAAGGCGGATCTGAGAGGCTGTCAGCACCTAATGGCTCCATCAGGGTCTTCAAGACCCCCACCCCCAAAGAGCAGCAATGAAACAAAATAATAGTATCTTGGATGGGATACAATTCCAGAAGATGGTGAGTTGTTTCTTCTCCCTGGTACTAGGGATCAAACCCAGGGAGCATTGACCTACATCGCCGCCTTATCTTTATTTTATTTATTTGTGAGTATTTATTTTGAGACAGTCTCACTGAGTTTCCCAGGTCAGCTTTGAGCTTGGGATCCTCCTGCCTCAGCCTACCATGTAACTGGATCACAGGTGTGCACCACTGTGCCCAGCCTGGTGTTTGGATTTAATGCAGGAGAGGCAGAAATTACGTCCGTAATCTGTCATCAGAATAACTGCCCGGAATAACTGGGTTGGCGTAGTTAAGTCGATTCCCAGCAAAGCACATTTTTAGTGAGCACAGTGTATGTTTAATGAATTTCTGCTTTCCGTTTGTTTTCTGGTAATTATTTATGTTTTCATGTTGCCTTTCCATCAAGGAAGGACAGGCAAGAGGGCATTTTTGTCATCCCACCCAGCTCTTCAGCCCTTCTCAGGGAGCAAGAGAGTTTGCTCAGAGTTTCGTCCCATTTGTTTTGAGGATGGACCAGGAAGGCTCCCTGGAGGAAGTGACATTAAAGAAAGGCAAGGAGGAGTAGGAGCCGGCTGGGGGGCGGAGGAGGGTGGCTCAGGGCAGGAGCGGGGTCACAGCTTCCTGGGGGAGAGGACCCTGGGGCGGGAGTGCCCGGAGCCCAGAGTGAGGGAGGGAGCACACCACAGGTCCAGCAGGCCACGGGACTGTGGGCTCACAGCGCACGGACCAGGCCTGGAGAGTGGCTGGGACCCTGGGGTGGGGGAGCTAGAGCCCGGCGTGCAGCCCGCAGAGCTGCACTGGTGCTGTTTGGGACCCGAGTGACCAGAGGGACTTTGGGCTGGGGGGACCCAGAGCCAGGCTGGGGGGCTGGAAGGGATGGGAGTGCAGGGGACGCGAGCAAGGTGTGCACAGGCGAGGGTGGCTGAGGGCAGCGGAGGCGGCGTGGGGCCTTCCTGGCACCTGCAGGGGCACAGGAAGAGGATCGAGGGAGGGACCCTCTGTGCTAGGGCAGCAGGGTGGGCAGGGACGTGTCCTGTCCGCACTCACACAGCTGGCCGCAGCAGGTCCAGAGCGGTGACCACCACGACCTCCCTCTGTCGGGCGCTCAGAATGCTCCTGGCAACGCCAGAACCACCCTGGGGTGCGGACCCAGAAACCCGGGCTCCGGGAGGGCGGACGCCCATGCTTGTCCAGCACCCCCGGCTGCACCCGAGACCCGGAGGAGTCCCCACATGCCAGTGCCTGGGCTGGCAGCCCTGCCCGCCGCTTGCCGCTGCAGTGATCTCGGGAGGCTGGGTTAGCCCTGGTGCTGCTACATCCACCGTAGCATTATTATTGAGTTCAGACCTAGAAGGTCACAGGAAACATCGCAGGTGCTCGGTCGTGTCTAGTGCTATTACAATAGGGAAGTTATTTCCTCCCCGCCTTATGTCCACCAGCACCCCAAGTTGAGCTGTATGGGCTGAAAGTGTCCCCCATTTTTTATGTTGGAAACTTATTCTCCAAATGTGTCTGTTAATGGAGGTAGTCAGGGTTACCTGAGGTCGGAGGGTGGGGCCCCTACTACGGCATTCGTGACTTTTCTTTTTGTGGCAGCACTTAGTGCTGAACCCAGGGTACTGCAGATGCCAAGCAAGCACTCTGGGCGGAGCCACGTCCCGGCCCGGCCCTTTCCGTAAAGCTGCATTCTGAGGCGCTCTCCTTAAGTTGCCCGCCCGGGCTGAGCTCATTCTTTCGATTGTTCTGCCTCAGCTCCCTGAGTAGCTGGGGTTACAGGTCTGTGCCACCACTTCCTGTGGTGATAGCTAGTGACTCTTGTTAGGCAAAAGAGCCGAAAAACCAGGACCAGACCAGGATGACAACAAGCCTTTATTACGGGGAGGGCCTGCCAGGCTGCCTCTGGACAGAGGAGAGAGAGGCAACGTGGCAGCACCTGACAACACTCCTCTTTCGCAGGAGCGGGGTGGGGTCAGCCTAAACTGGGGTGGAGGTGAATGAGGTAGCATTAAGGGATGGGAGGAGCCTGTGACATCACTAGCTGTTAGGAGGTAGCGAGTATCAGGTTGCTCTTTTGGCGGGAGAAGAGGCATGATGGGAAGAAGCCTGTCCTTTGTGGGGAGAAGCCATTTTTTATCATGGAGGCTGCTATTCTATGTGGCAGCCATCTTGAGGCAAGGGAAATCTAACAACTCCACGGGCAGGGAGAGGGGCCTGGAGCAAGCACGGGCACCCTGGCTCCCACGTGACACCAAGGCCTCCACCAGATACCAGCTTCTTCCAGAACCCCAAGCCAAAGAAACTTCTCTCCTTTATAAATTCCCTGGCTGTGGGTACTTTGTTATAGCAACAGAAAATAGACTAAGACACAAGCTAAGCCACATAAGCATACAATCTAAATAAGAATAATATGCTTTCTAAGAAGACAGATCTTCAAGAGAAATCCTGTTATTCCAAGTAGATCACATTCCTAGCCCTTCTTTCCTTTACCCATAGATTTTTCTAGAACCGTGAGCTTTAGTTTTTGTTGCCATATTTGCTTCCAGCTCTTTATCTCGTCAACACTGCAAAACCCATTAAAAGAATATTTTTCTTATGTTAAAATAAAGGCTTTAAAACCTTTTGGGAAGGGTAAGTGAAGGGTACCTTGTATTGAGGAAGAAGGAATTGGGAAGAATCATTTCTGCTCATGGGATTTTCTTGCCAGGTGGGCATGTTGGAAGGTTTCGTTCTGGGTTTTTTTTTTCCCCCTCCATGTGACCTAAGCTGAACCCATCAGCTCCCTTTCCTGGAGTTTTAAAACTTTAGTTCCTCTCTCTGCTCCTAGCAGGCAGAAAGACTTACCGCTGCTAGTGAGTCAGATTTCAAAACGTGGAGGGCCGGGGATTTGGCTCAGTGGTTCTGCCGCCTGCCTTGCAGGTGCAAGGTCCTGAGTTCGATCCCTGGTACCACACACACACACACACACACACACAAAAGTGGAGTAGGCACTGCCGCCAATTGGCAGAGCCACTGTCCCTTAAAATGATGGCTCCCTGGGCTAGACATACTGTTCAACGTCCCTGACTCCAGCACTACTCAGCACTACTCAGTCAGGTTTTAAATCCTTGTTCTCTAATCTGTGGCATGATCTCACCCCAGTGATGAGGAATTCGCAAGAGATGAAAGGCTCTGCTCTACTCTCTGTCTTTATCTCTAAGCAAGGGCTCTATCCATCAGCAATTTGCAAATTCTGAAGCCCCAATAATGCTAATGAAGCAGACTTTGTAATTTGCCTGTGCCTCTGTGGTGGGTGAACTTTAAGGAGGAGTCAGGCATTCCTGGAAGCACAAGACCTGCTACTTTTTTGGGAAATTCTTGTCCCTGACTCCATGATATGATTCAGCATAGCTATCAGTCACAGTACACCAGCTGTGTGGAGAAGGACACATGACCCAGATTTGGCCAATCACTGGGTCTTGTTTCATTAGCCATAGTGATTGGCCGAGGATTTGGACATGTGACCCAAGATGAGCCAACCAGAATCCTTCAAATTGGCCTAGAAGGGGAACTGCCTTTGACAACGAGACACAGAAGTGATGAGATGTTTTCACAGTTACCATACTGACGACTCCCATCCTGGTTGCATAGAAGAATCACCCCCTACGCTTGCTAAAAATCCAGGTTCCCAGGTCAAGTGAACAGGATCAGATTCTCAGGTGAGAAAGGGTCTGAGAACCTGGTGTTTTCCATCAGCAATTGTGATATTTTACATCACCTGCCCGGGCTGGCCTCAGAACTAGGAACCAGTACTTTCTATCTCAAAGAACCCTCCCTTTATTATTTATTTATTTATTATTATTAGTTTTTTGGTACCGGGGATTGAACTCAGGTCCTTGCGCTTGCGAGGCAGGCCACCGAACCGCTGAGCTAAATCCCCGGCCCGAACCCTCCCTTTATAATGAAGAATCTTACCAGCTGTCAGAGTATTTTTCTTCCAAGGTACTAAACATCCATCTATTTCAGGATTGGCTGATTCTCTTTTACCAAGATTTTGGGCAGTATTCCTTGTCTAGATTAAAACATCCCCCAAAATTGATACCTCTTCTATAACCCCGAGAAAAAAGATGCATGTGGAAAGATAATTTTTGTAGAATGGTTTGTAATAGTTAAGGAGGAAAACACAAGATTTCCACTTGTAGGGGACTTGCCCGTCATCTCCCTGGAGAGAATGCTTGGTCAGACGCTGTTCCAGGGAAGACCTGATTGTTTGTTTGTTTGTCCAGTACTGGGAATTGAACTCAGGACCTTGCATTTGTCAGGCAGATGAGACACCACTGAGCTACATTCCTGGCCCCCGAGCTGATTGTTTGAACTAGGGAGACTTCAGCTGCAGATGGCTTCACAGTGCTGTTTCCAAGTGACCAGGTGAGTGACAGCTGTGGTCCGGGAGCCCAGTCAGGCTGGAAGGGACCCTGAGGGTTTGAGCTGAAGGACACAGGCCCGGGCTGCTCTGGATTTGAGCTGCACACTGGCACCCTCGCCCTAAGCCCATGGCCCGATTTTCATGTTCTGTTGTTGCTTTTAAGATGTCACTGAGTAGCTGGTCTTCGAAGACATCACCACCTTTAGTCCTAAAATTCTGTTCTCACTCTGGTCCCTTCTGCTGCCCAAACTTTCAATATTATTTTTAATCTTCTGGAATTGTGACCTTCTTTTCATGATTCTGTTTCTTTGCTAACCCGGTCTTTCATGTTTTGCTTATCACATCTAGTTCGTGCGTGTTCGCGTGTGTGTCTGTCTTCTGAAAGCTCCTGGACCCTTTTGGTAACTGCGTCCACTATCTGTTCAGTTATAATTTCCGTGATTCCACTGAGTATCTCTTTGATCTGTTTTCTAACCCTCTTTGTTACTCTTTTAAGTAATTCAGGTGTGTGGCTTATGCTATTCTCACCTGCCAAGCCTTCTAGATTGGCTTCTGGGTAGTTGGGAGTTTTGAAAAGTATTTTGTTGCCTTGTCTTCTCTTTTTTTTCTTGTTTTTCGTTTTCTTTTTTCGGTACCAGGAATCGAATTCAGGGCCTTGCGCTTGCCAGGCAGGTACTGCACTGCTGAGCAACATCTGTTGTGTTTTGTTTTGTGTTGAGGTTTGTGGATCCTTACATGAAGACTTTGCTGCTAGCACAGAGATCTCTTTAGTCACTCTGAGTGGTGTGCTTTAGGCATGGCTAAGTACCGTCCTCTTCCTCAGCCCCAAGATCCGAATGTCTCAGTCAATTTGGGAGGCGACGGTGCAGCGTATTCGGCCCAACACTGAGCTTCCTGGGAATGTGCTCTGGTACTGTTCACGTCACAGGGGCAATCTGGATGTTGGCTTACAGAAAGAATCCATTCATAGTAAGTCATGCGGCCTTGGGAATATTAGCCAATCACAGCCTAAGACCAGACTGTATACCACGTACACCCTAGAGAGGAAATTCAATCACTGCATTATTATTAAGACAACTCAGGTACTGATCGGCAACTAATACGGACTGAGTATCACAGCTGTGTGTCCAGTGATGGCGGAAAAGAATCCAACCCCAATTTTATAGAGGTAACTATCTAAAGATTTAATATAAAGATTTACCTGTCACAAAGGTTTGTGGCTATACTAACTGGAGATAGAGGATTTGGGAACTGGAAATGAAAGAGCAGAAGTTTTAAAATTCAAACTACAGAGCCCGCCAAGCAAAATGTACCCACACTTCTGAAGTTCCCAGAACGGGTACATGGCTGGAAGCTCACGGCCACCCTTTGAGCACCTCTTGTAATGCAGAGGCCCAGGGTCGCTTGTGTTCGTCTCACGATGTTTCAATAAATATAGTTTAAACCAATGACCTGAGCTTTTCTTTCCTCGTGCATACGTTTGTGGGGTAGACTGTGTGGTCTGAGGGGTGACGGGTGGGACACAGGACCCTATTTGGGAGTAGGAGGGGTATTTATGGGATTAGGTAATGTAACAGACAGAACTGGTGAGAGATCAGAGATCAAAGAGAAACAAGGAGACAGAAAAAGAAAATATACGGGGAGTAAAAGTAAGGAACACAAAATTAAAGGGAGAAAAATTTAAAAAGAGAAGAGGGAAAGAGAAATGGGAAAAGGAGATACAGGAGCAAGCAGAAAGGACAAAGGAAAATTCAGACTCCAATAAATTGGTAAAGAAAGAGGAAAAAAGGAAAAAAACAAGAAACAATAACCACACATGCACTCAGAAAAGGAGAGAGAGAGAGAGAGAGGAAGTAAGTAAGAAAAGAAAGAGGCGTTTCTCTGTGACTTTGAATATATGATTTTTTTTTTTTTTTTGAGACAGGGTCTCACTATGTAGTTGAGACTGACCTGGAACTCACTGTGTAGCCCAGGCTGGTCTCGAACTCACAGCGATCCTCCTGCCTCAGCCTCCCAAGTGCTGGGATTACAGGCATGCGCCACATGCCCGGCTGAATATACGATTTTCTTCCAGGATCTACAACTTCGAGGCAATGTCTGAACCAGAACGCGTCCCTGCTCATGTGTGTGGACAATGAGGATGGTCAGGCCCAGGTCCATGCTGGATGCTGGCACCAACAGGCCGCAGGCTTAGGGTGAGGGTGCTGATGTGCGACTCAGATCAGCTCCGGGGCTGCACCTGCTTGGCAAATGCAAGGTCCTGAGTTCGATCCTCGGTACCGGAAAACAGACCAACAAACAAGTGATTAGCTTATAATTAGAAATGAAAAAGGCAAAAGCACAACGTATTCTGCTAAAATCCAGAGGATCATTCATTGGGAACTACTTTGAGAAGCTGGACAAACCTTCATTTGTGAGTAACTCAGTCTGCAGTGTTCTGCAAGATAAGCAAACATTTCTAAAAAAATTTAATTTGATAAACAAGCACTGTCTTGCAATCCGAGTAGCACATCACACCGATGTCCCATGGTCACAACTGCGTCTGCTGTCTCTCTTGTTTCTCTCTTTCTGTCTCTGTCTGTCTCACTGCTTTGGGTTATGAGTGGAACAAATTATTCTCACAAACCAAGGTGTTACTGTACTCTAATAAATGAAAAATTCAGAAGAAATGGATAGATTCCTAGACACATATAACTACCAAAGCTGAACCAAGAAAAATATAAAAATCCCAAATAATCCAACATGCCTCAATAAAATTGAAGAAGTTTAAAAACTACCAACTCAGGGGCTGGGATGTAGCTCAGTGGTCCTCGCAAGCACAAGGACCTGAGTCTGATCCCTGGTACCAAACAAACAAACAAACAAACAAAACTACCAACTAAGAAGAGCCCAGGTCCTGATGGATTCCCTACAGCTGACTCTCGTAATTGTACAAAAACTTGAGAGAAGATCTAATGCCAACACTTTTGAAACTCTTTAATGAAATTGAAAAGGAAGTAATACTCCCACAGTCATTCCTGGAAGCTAGCATCACCCTGATTCCAAAACCAGGGAAGAACCCAACCCAAAAAGAGAACTGCAGGCCAACTTCTTTAACGATCATCAGTGAAAAAACCTTTAATAAGAAAATAGCAGACAGAATGCAGCAAATCATCAAAAAGATTGCTATGTCAGCCAGGCGTGGTGGCGCAGGCCTGTAATCCCAGCCCTTGGGAGGCTGAGGCAGGAGGATCGCTGTGAGTCCGAGACCAGCCTGGGCTACATAGTGAGTTCCAGGTCAGTCTCAACTACATAGTGAGACCCTGTCTCAAAAATAAATAAATAAATAAATAAATAAAATTTTAAAAAAGATTTCTATGTCATGGTCAAGTACCAGGAGGATTTGCTCTAGGGATGCAGGGATAGTTCGGTATAAAGAAATCAATAAGTGTAATATGTAAATGTAACATACCGCATAAATAGAAGCAAGGACAAGAATCACACGATCATCTCAACAGATGTAGAAGAAACACTGGACAAAAGCAACACCCATTCATGATAAAAGCCCTGAAGAAAATAGGTCTAGAAGGTCTTTGTCTCAATCTGATAAAAGCCATCTGTGACCAACTGAGGGCCAACCTCATACTAAATGGGGAGAAGCTGAAGTTTCCCCTGAAATCCGCAACAAGACAGGATGCCGTCTATCACCACCCCGGTTCAGTACAGCTCTTGAAATGTTAGATCAGTCAGGCAAGAGAAAGAAATAAAGGAATCAAAAGAAATAAAGGGGTACTCGAAGGAAAGGTTGAAGTTAAATTATCGTTATTTGTAGATGGCGCGTCCTCTAGGCAGAAGACCCCCAAAACAAGCAGTTCTGAAACGTCTGTCGTGCGCTGGGCCAGCTGTGTACTTCTCCGTGCCTGTTTCCAGCACAGCCCCTCAGCAGCCCCTGGCTACACCTGGTAGGAGTGATGTCTCGGAGGTCATGCTGCATAGTAGACTAAGTCGCTAGGAAACCCAGGCGGGCCTCCAACGCACAGGCCTCCTGCCTCAGTTTTGGAGGTGCTTTGACTATAGGCAGGGACCGTTAGGCTGGGCTGCTTTGTTTTGCTCTGAGTCTGGATCTCACTCCTTTGCCCCAGCTGGCCTCAAACTCCTGGGCTCCAGTGATCTTCCCGCCTGTCTCCCAAGTGGCTCGGAATACTGGTCCGAGCCCAGCTTCCTGATTGTGTCCAGTTTAGAGCAGCGTCCTGTTTACCTGCTTCCTTCTGGGATTGCGGCACCAGCTCTAACTCCCTCTTGCTGCTCTTCAGACTCCCAGAGGGCTCTTCCTCCCTGGGGTCTTGTTTCAGCGAGCTCAGTACGCCCGTCTTCGTGTTCCTAGTGGGGTTTGCTGTGGACCCCAACAATAGCACACATCTGTAAATCTGAAACCGGTGGCTACCCTTATTTCTTTGTGCCTGAAAGTCGGTGGTGGGGCGCGACATTTGCATCTGGGTGTCTGATGTGATAAATGAGGGAGTTCAGATCAGCTTGAAACTTCCACCACTGTGTAGAGGCAGCCTTCTGGGGGGTGAGGAGAAAAGGTGATCACCAGGGACACTTGGCAGAAGTCCAGGACTGTGGGAGCAAAGACTCAATTCTTCTTTTACAAGAGAGAGAGAGAGAGAGAGAGAGAGAGAGAGAGAGAGAGAGAGAGAGGGAGAGAGAGAGGGAGGGAGAGAGGGAGAGGAAGAAAGGAAGGGGAAAGGGAAAGGAAAGGAAAAGAAAAGAAAAGAAAAGAAAAGAAAAGAAAAGAAAAGAAAAAAAGAAAAGAAAAGAAAAGAAAAGAAAAGAAAAGGTAAGCAGGTAAGCAGGCTGAGACAACATTTTCCCAACAGTGACTTACCTTTGGCCTACTAGGACTCTTTGGTGAAAGGCTGAGACAACATTTTCCCAACAGTGACTTACCTTTGGCCTACTAGGACTCTTTGGTGACAAAGAATCCCAGGTCATTTGCAAATCCACAGAAAAAGAAACCCAGAGAAGAACCTGCACAGTGCCTTGGAACAAGAAAAACTAGTTCTAGCCCTTGGGTTGTGCAGAAGACCCCCAACCGGCTGGGTCTCTAAAGGCCTCCGGCAAGCCAGAAATTCTTTGTTCCTGTAAGGCCCACTGTAAACTGTAATTACGGCCTGAAGATTTCTAGAAGCGTGTTGCAAACAGCTGAAAAACAGCTGTGTGGGATTGGGACCAGGTTTAGAGGGAACAGAAGGGACCCGCCAGGATCCCAACAGGATTCCCCCGGAGGTGGCCTAATTTATCGGCTTGCAAGCTCTTGGGCCGGGACAAAGCTTGAAGATGCCCATCGTCCCTCGTGCCTGTGGAGTTTGGCCTCTAGGAGGAGCAGGGAGAGGTGAGAGGGCTGTGGGGCTGGGCTGCCCCCTGTCCGCTCAGAAGTTGCCTCGGAAACGCAGCCAGAGAACTGGGTGTGAGGCTTTGAAAGATGCTCATGGTCTACGGCAGCGTTGGCAAACTTCTGGGAAGAGCCAGGCAGCACTTTTGGGCTTCGTAGCCCGTATGGTCTTCAAGGCAGCCACAGACAAACATGATCCAATAACGCCTGCCGTCGCCCAGACAGGACTGACGATTTCTGCCCAGGTTCGGGGCGAGTGTGAGCGCCGCTGTGTCCGGGAGAAGCGGGGGAAGGCAGGCGTTCGCCAGGAGCAGCTCCCGGGCAGACGCTTTGCTCTTTCCGCGTCTTCACGACGGGAGAATCCACTGGGCAGCGCAGGGCTGAGCGCTCCAGCCTCCTGCGGAGCCCTGGCGAGCGTCCCTCTGGGGAAAAAACAAAACAAAACAAAATAAAAACGACTTTGCAGCCAGGAGCCAGTGGATCCTGAGCTCACGCCTTGCTCTTTCCGGGCCTTAACCTGGAGGTGTGGCAATCTTGTTACCTGGTTCCAGCTGCAAAGGTGTCCAGGAGCTTGGCCTGGCCCTGAGGACCTCACCTAGCTGGGCACCCAGTCCCCCGCGCTTGCTTCCGCTGCTCAGCTCAGGCTCTGCCCTGGCACCGGCAGCTCCCGCAGGAAGCTGTCCTGAGGTCCCGCTGTCACCCTCAGTGCGCCTCCTCAATGTACCGTCCCGTCCCGGAGCGAGTGACCCGGCGGGACCTGGGTCGCCAGCACGGGTTCCGGGCCCAGTGCTGCAGTTCGCCAAAGCAGGGCACTGCCCAGAGCCTCAGCTTGTCTGTCTTTACCGGATATAGCTCAGCGGTGCAGCACCTGCCGGTCAAGAGCGAGGCCCTGAGTGCAATTCCCGGTAGCAAAAAACAAAAGACAAAAAACCAAAACACAACAACAACAACAACAAAAACCCCAAAATACAAAACACCACCCAGGGAAATAATAATGCTATGACGATCACATCGCAAGGCTGTGTGCAATTGTGCGGTGCCGGGATGGAGCCCGGGGCCTTGCAGATGTCAGGCGAGGGTCAGAGAAATCCAGCCGAGGCATCAGCTGCAGACCAGGCAGGCAGCCCCTGAAATGACCCACTGTCAGCGGTGGGCAGCTGTTCACCTCACAGAAAGCTCTGAAAGTTTCGCCATCACTGCCAGACCATGAGCTGGGACTTCCATGCCAGGACTGTGGGAAATAAATGTCTGTAGTTTTAGCCACCCAGCCTATGATTGTTTTGTTTTTATTTTTCTCCCAAATTAATATTTTTATCAAATCAAGGTTAAATAATGATCACTATAAAAAGTCAAGAAGGTTTTTGTTTTTGCTTTCGTGTTTTGGGTACCAGGGATCGAACTCGGGACCTTGTACTTGTGAGGCAGGCAATGGAACCACTGAGCTAAATCCCAGGCCCCCAAGAAGGATTTTAAATAAACCAAATCATATCTTTTTTATACAATCTATGCATGTATTAATAGCAAACTACCCCTGAGATTTTATTTCACGCTTTTAGTCACTTATTTTGTTCTTTGTGTGTGTGTGTGTGTGTATGTTTGCCTGGGATTGAACTCGGGCCCTTGCACTAGCAAAGCAGGCGGCAGAACCACTAAGTCAAATCCTGGGCACCTGTTCCTTTTTTTTTGGTACTGGGGATTGAATTTGGGATTTGTACTTGCGAGGCAGGTGGTGGCGCCACTGAGCTAAATCCCCAGCCCAGAAAAAGTAATTCTGAATGTAACTTGACAGACTTCCTGCCAAGATGTGTGTGTCATATATATATACTCATGTACATTTTCCACTTTGAATGCATTTCTTTAAACTTCTTGTTTGAGTGTGTCTGTAGACTACATCGCCAGCTGAAAGTTTCTAGGGAGAGTTTCATTTTAGCTACTGAGAAACACTGGTTATTGAAAATTCTGAGGCCAAAGAACTGCTATAGACTCAGGGCCCATGAAGCCAAGTTTCTGCCACCAAACAGTGGGCCAGGGCTCCCGGTGCGCGCGTGTGTGTTTTTCTGGCTGCACTGCTCCTGAAGGCGCTGCAGGTGCTGGCGCTCGCAGGGCCGCAGAGCCTGGGGATCTCCAAATACCAAGGTCACTGAGTGTCTGCACCACTCGGTGGTGACAGCAGAGCCTGTGTCTCCCGGCAACATGGGCAAATCTAACAGCAGCAGCACCGCAGGACCATTCACAGTGCTGTTTTCTCCGTCTCCATCAGGTTGACCGTTGCCTCCCCAAAAGCCACAGTGACTTCCAGGATGGTGGCACCAGGAGCCTCAGCCCGTGCTGCTGCCACCACCACCAAGGTGACACTTAGAGCAACGAGTACTTCACAGGACACCCAAACGGCAGCGCCCACGATGACCACAACCCACGGCCCCACTAATAACCACTGTTCATTCATAAGAAAACAGAGACTCGACATTTCTTCCTGGCAGCATGGTGGTGGTGCTGCATTGGCACTGGGAGTTTCGTCTACACTGGATGCAAAGGGTCTGGCTCAAGAAGAGGCATTCAGCATAGAACCACGGAAGAACTTGAGGCCGTCACTTAAGGAACTGTAAGAACCAAGGAGAGAAGGTGGGTGCAGCTCTATAACTTTATTAGTTTAAAACAATATTCTCGAGCCAGGCGTGGTGGCACACGCCTGTAATCCCAGCACTCTGGAGGCTGAGGCAGGAGGATCTCTGTGAGTTCGAGACCAGCCTGGGCTACACAGTGAATTCCAGGTCAGTCTCAACTGCATAGTGAGACCCTGTCTCAAAA